TCGCTAGTCCAAAATACACACCCTGCACATTCAAGAGACTAGTTTTGCTCTTTCATGTAGGCACAGGAAGGTCATAGCTGGAGAGAGAAACTAAATCAACTATAAACAACCAGCATTACTAACAGCATCATTTTAAAGTATTCATTTGATAGCTTGGCAGCTGACAAAGGTAGAAATGCAACTTTTCTTTTAGGTCACTTAGGAATTCCAGAGAGCAAACACCTGGAATACTAAATGGCTGGCGTTATTCAGAGTGGTGAACTGATTGTTCTAGGAAGATGCCTGTACTTTTTCCTGTGCACAGAGATATTAAAAAGTAATAGAAAGACACTGTCCTTCAAAGCTCAGGATAATGACTCCAGCATTGCAAATCTTCCTTGGCTGTGAGCAAGAATCTCAAGGTCAAATCTGTTCCCTGGTATCCTACTTGGCAGCGATCTGCTTGTCTGCTTACTCACCTGACTAGGGTGTTGTAAATGATAGATAATCCTTTCATCTGCCGTGGTTGCCGTCTTGTCCACTACAGGCTGTGGACTACATATGAAAAAAAAAAAATACCATTGTTCAAACACTGAGACTGAAGCCCATTTAATTTCAGGCCGGTGCTCTTGCTTCTCTCGGATATCAGAACTTAGCTTAGTGACTGCACAGTGCTTTCCACAGAACTCTAAGACCCAAACTTTGAGTAAGGCTTAGTTTCAGTTTGAATTCCAGTCTGTGTTTTAGACACTATTGCATTCTATCCTCTGTGACTAATACTGTGAAATCTTATTTCCTACAGGACTGGAATGACTATGATGAAAAAACAAAGGAATCTGTTGGAATCTATGAAGTTACCCATAAATTTGTAAAATGCTAAAGTTCATACCCCTAATAAATGTTTACATGCTTATTGATGAAGGGGCTGTAACCGTCAGAGATGCAGTTTCCTCGGAGTTACTTTTCACATGGCTGTACTTCAGAAGTGGAAACCTAAGTTGTACTTACTGTTCCCAGGACGAACTAATAAAATATTTTCCACAGAGCACTTTTGAGATGGCCTTGGTACAAACTGAAAATCGTATATACACTGGACTGAACTGTGCCATTTTCTTAATGTTGTCTTTTTTGGGAATATGTATGGTTGTGATGGACTGTAGCTTAACTACTGTATCAACAGTAACTACTTAGACAACTTACTGCCTTAAAGTTTTTAATAGCCTATCACCAAGAGGTACCCACATTTGATTCTCTAACATAAGTAAGGTCTTTTCACTCACCATTCCTATCATCGGGAAGTGGCTATGATTAAAGGGACTGTGTTAACTGTTCAAGCGAAAAGGTATGTCTTTAATAGCTTTCTGCCAGTTCAGTAAAGACACTGAGGTGAGTTTACTGAGAACACTTAATAAGCTTGACTGCTATTGACACACATAGCTGTTACATCTGAAAATCTGAGTGTGTCATTAAGTAAACCTCACTCATTTCTAGTTAAAGGCAGACTTTCTACTTCACAGCAAGCGTGCTCACAATCTTGCCAGCTGTTCTCGTATTTAAAAAAAAACAACCAAAGCCAACCAAAAATGGAAACCCCAAAACCTTCTTTAGTGACTTTCATTCAAAGGCTTTTGGTCCGATTAGTGTTTCATGATAGATTATCTCCTTCATCCCCACAAATGATCACCTTCCTTCCTTTGTTTAAATGAGCAAGAACAATCATGGTATGTTTTAAAGTTTTAAAATAATCCTTTTCAACTGGAAAATAGAACAGCACGTTACAGGCTGCAGAGGAAACAGCCCTGACTAGGAAAAGTCTATAAGCCGTTGGGCTTACATATTTAAAGCACACCTCTCCCTTTCCTAGAACTTGCAGTTCATGCTTCAAGATATGGTATTGCTTACGCTTACGTGATAAAGAAAAAAGACACTGGGAGAACCCAGAAGCTGAGATATCCAAAGGAAGAGTAAAGCCAAGTAGGTTTCTGAGCCTCTGAACCTCATCTGTCACATCCAACCAACATGCTCAGGCTTTATGTTCTGCTAATGTATTTTGTTGTCAGGGTCACGGTGGGCTGTGCTGAAAGACGAGCTGCGTTAGTTTTACACAGAGCTGCAGAAGGAAGCTCTACTGTGCTATTCAGCTCCAGAGAAAGACTCATCTTCCCAGAAGAAAAACGGAGTGGAAGATGTCAGGGTTTAGAAGGCAGAGGAGTTCAGGTTATACATACCATAACGCATTTTGTGCAAAAAGGGGTATATCTCATGCACAGGGCATCTGTGTTGTAATCCCAGCAACTTTGAGCACCTTTGACTTCTTGACTGACAAAGGTCCCTTCCCCTATTGCTACCACCCACTTTGTAGCTGGCAGAGTCGCAGTTGTGAACAGCACACAAGCAACTGTCTGCATCAGTTTCATCTCGCATTCACAGCACCGCTAAGTTTTATTGATGTCTATGCTCAAGCTCTCCTGCAATCCCTTCAGAGAGTTCTGATAAGTCTTAGTCTTCAGAACTTCTGCAATAAGCCCCAATGCATTAAAGATGCAGCTCTAGGCAGTACGACTCTGGCAGCGGTGTTCCCCAGGACTCAGTTTTGGGGGTTGAGTTTTGGGATTGGTTTTTTACTGTTCTTTTATCAATGATCTGGACAAAGGGATCGAGGTTTGCAGTCAA